CCTCGCACCTGCTACTGATTTACCCCCCCCCCCCCCGTCCCGTGCATGGGCCCTCTGTGCCACTGCTTCCCTGACAGATGATAAGGAGGAGAGCATCCTGGGCAGCATACCCCTCCTGAGCTTCCGGGTCGCCGCGGTGCAGCCGTCCGACAACATCAGCCGGAAACACACATTTAAGGTCAGCTGGCCCTCCTCTCCTGGGCTGGTGGGGGAGGCAGCGGGTGCTCAGAGCGTGTGGTAATGGGGCTGGGAGGGTCAGAACTCGCTCCCTGAGGAGCTCCAGGTGGTGGTGACAGAGGGGGCAGCAGGCAGTGTGGCTCTGGGCTCAGCAGAGGCTACTGAGAGGCCGAGGCGAGGCTGTGCTGGGACCCACTCCTGGGGATGGAGTAGATACTTCTCCCAGGGTGGGTCAGCACAGATGTGCTGCAGGGCTGTTGCCGTTTTTGTAGGGGCTGAAATAGTTATGGACGGAGCTCACGATCATCCTTTGAGAGAGTGACTGGTGGGTTTCCGAAATCTTTGCTGGAGGGGCTTCCTCTCCTCCTTGGTCCCAGGGAACCAGACCCTTCCCCACAAGTCAAACTTACATTTCAATTTTTAGAGAAAATTAGAAATTGAGTTTCATTCCGGTACGAGCCACAAATGTCATGCAGACAACAGTTTGAGAGAACAAGTGCCCAGGAAAATGGGACTCACCTGCCTACTCAGTGTCACTCCCTCTGGTCCCCTGGGAATCCACCCGGTGCAGACACGCCTGCAGCTGGCTCATCCTGGGCCAGTGTTTTTCCACAATTAAAAATGCATGACCCATTAAAAACTGTAAAAACCTCATGCCCTTCTTATATTTTCTGATGCAAAAACCTTAAGTTCCTTTGCATTTTCCAAGTATAAAATGATAATAACAATTAAGTATTTTCTTAATATAAAACCCCATCTCTCCCCCAGTTGCACACTGCTGTTCAAACTCCTGAAAAGTCAAAGTTTAGGTAGCACCAGCAGGTCACCCTGGGCCAGGGCCTGAGTTCCTAGGGCCTCAGAGACTCTTCCCGTTTCTGTGCTTCTGACTCTGGTCACCTGGCCACAGGAAAAAGGGAGGCAGCATACCAGGCCCTGCTACAGGGAACAAGGAGGGACTTATTTGCACATAATTAGCTTCTAGCCTCCCAGGGTCTTTTATGCCAGAGGTGTGAACAGAATGAACAATTAATAAAACTCTGACTCCAGGGAGCCAGGTTCTAGCTGGGGAAATAGGAACAGGCTTGTTTAACCAACAACAAACAGTCCTGCTATACACAGACGCACGCACACACCCACACGCGATCGAGCAGCCTGTCTCACCCTCCCTGCCAGACCTGTGCAGAGATAGACACACGAGCTCGGAGCTCTGCCAGCAGCCGCCAGTAGATCAACGTCCTGGAGTGACTGACACACTCAGAGTCCCTTCTGTGCCCCCAGCCCCTCCCCGCAAGGAGTGTGCTGCCTCTTTACAACAGGGCTCCATGGACCATGCTCAGTGGCCCACGAAGGGCTCTGACTGGCTGTTCAGGGGCTCTTCCCCAGGGACTGTGGTCAGTGGAGTTGGGGTGAGTGGGCTTGTCCTGCTGTGGCCATTAAGGGAAGCTCTTGGCAGGCTAATGAGGAGGAGCCAGAAACATCCTGACCTGGCTACCAATGACCTCACCTTCTTCCCAGCCTGGTAGGGGGATGAGGTGGGCCCGGCCTGGATGCCCCCTCATTCTCTGGCCCCTTTCACAGTTCCAGACCAGCGTCCACTCCTGCTCCCATCAACAGCACTGTCTTTTCCCAGGCCCTCTGCCCCAAGCCCTCTGCCCCAGGCTTCTGCAAGCACTTGTCCTGCACCGTCACCGTCCTTGTTTCCCTTGACGTGTTCTGTCCCCCAGCCCAACCCGTGAGCTCTTCAAGTGCAAGAGCATGTTCTCGCCTTCCTGTGACTGCCCCAGCAGCTCCGCATGTGCAGGTGCACCCTGGGTGTGCACCGAATCTGTGAATGCACTTACAGCCCCCACCCCACACCACAGGGCACCCCCTCCCCCAGTCCTGCCTGTTACTGTCCTTTCCAGTGACCCTTCGTTCTCCACCCAGAGGGCTTGCTCAGGCCGTGGCCTCTCCCCTGTGCAGTTTTAAGCCCAGCTGCCTCCCTAGCCTCACTGGCTTTTTCTCAGACCTCCCCTGGCCTCCTATCCCCAGCTCGCCTCATGCTGGGCCCTCTGCTGGCTCCTGTCGAAAGATCAGGCTGGGGACAGCGGGAGGTGGGGCCAGCTGCAGCCAAGGGGCCTGTGACAGTCGGGCTGGAAAGCACAGGGGCTCTGGGTTTGACATTGCTGCTTAGGAGAGCCCCGAGAGCCCCACCTGGCCTCATCTTCTCCTAATCCACGGAGGCCCGGGATGTAGTGCCCAAGGGTTAGAGGCTGGGGTAAGGTTCATGTCTGGGACTCTTAATCACTTTCGGATCTCTCCTGTTCAGCGGGATAAACCAGGCTGCCCGCTTTTTCTGGGAAGTTCAGGGTCTTCCCTGGGAAGAATGCTGAGTTCTCAAAGGATCTAGTCCCAGGTCTGTGACCCAAGAGCCTCGAGTTTCACCAGGCAGAGCCTCACCATGAAATAGAAGCAATGGGTCTGCAGGGGCAGAGCCGGCCCGGGGCAGAGCTAGGTTTAGTGCTGGGCTCCCTGGGTTTACTCCCCACCCACTCCCTCTGGTGCAGGCTCCCCACCCCTTACCCCACCCTGTGGAAGTCTGAACTGGGCGCTGCAGGGTGCCGTGGTTCCCAGTAGTGACACCACTCCCTGAACCCCACCGTGCTCCCACCATTTCTTGCCATGTGGTCTCTGTCTCTCCCTCTGGTGTTTGGTTGACCTGTTCTCTGCTTCTCCCCCTTCTGACCGTGTGAGGACCCCTCCTCTGGACAGGAGCTCTCTTCTGGGTTCCCGCCCGCTGTGCCTGCTCGCAGCCGCCAACTAGGTAGTGTGCTCCGTCCGTATGCCAGTGCATGCTCTTGCACGCCCGTGGATAGAGGCTTGGCTGTCTCTCCACAAGGAAGACAGTGTTGTGGAACTGGCATGTACTTGGGGGTCCTCTCCCCCAGACGTCGGGTAATTGCCTTTCAAACCGAACATGGAATTGGATGGGAGAGTGGGTGCTGTAATTGTCCCTCCTGCTTATAATCACCCCAGGTGGGGCAGGTAGGCTTCCTGGGCTATTGGGCTGCCAGGTGGTGGCCAGAGAGCTATCCCCAGCAGATATCTGGATGCTACTGGAGCACTTGGGATGGCCACGGGTCACGTCCTCAGCTGGCTCCTGAGCTCCACGGGGGAAAGAGCCACAGGTCCAGGGGACGTCGACTGACCACCATCCTGTGGGTGTGACTTCTTCTCCCTACAGGTGACTGTGTGCTGGGTGGACGAGGCCGGGGCCAGTTCCACACACTGCCTGTCCCCACAGGCTGAGCACGCAGGGGTCCGCACCTACTTCTTCAGTGCCGAGAGCCCCGAGGAGCAGGAGGCCTGGATCCAGGCCATGGGAGAAGCTGCCCGAGTCCAGATTCCTCCAGCCCAGAAGTCAGTGCCCCAAGCTGTGCGTCACAGGTGAGCTCCAGGGTTCTGGGCCTGGGGTTGGAGAGGAGGGCGATTGAGATGTTCCCAGTTCTGTGTCACTGATCCTGTGTGCCAGCTTGAACCTCTGCAGAGCGTATGGCTGGCTCTGGGTGGGCAAGCAGGAAGCCCTCCAAAGCGATTTCAGAGCCTGACATCTCTTCCTCTGATCGTCTCCCCTTCTCTCCAAGCTGGCGGAAGCCAAGAGAAAAGCTGGGCTCCACTGGGGTTTGGCCAGGATCCAAAGGTCAGGGTCACGTGCTTGTTTTTCTCACCTTGGTGTGTTACACACACAGCATTTGGAGGAAGGTGGCCTCGGGTTTGCATCACAGCTTGGCTGCTTGCCATGGTGCGACCTCAGTCTAAGTGACTTAACCTCTCCAGACCTGAGTTTCCTCTTCTCAAAACCAGCAATTATAACCCAACCTCCCAGGAGGGTTGTGAGGACTAAACAGTGTCCTGAAACGCTCGGCATGCAGTGAACATGCTGCACACAGTGGCCCCCTCTTCCCATCACCCACCCTCCAGGGCCTCAGCGCCTGTCTCTCCTTAACTGGGTATGGAGCCTTGAGTTAGCCGCTGTCAGGGATCCAGAAGAAGAAGGTTTTCAATACAGACTCCAGATCTACTCATGTCTCTTAGAAATGTTTACCCAACAACCTTTCTCTCTTTCTTTTTTTTAAATTATTTATTTAATTTTACTTATCATTATTATTTTTTTAAATTCGCAACAGGGCATGTGTGGTCAGCAGAGACAGAGAGGGGGGAAGTGCGAAAGCAAGCAACCAGGTCTGGGACTTGAACCATGGCCAGCCATGTGGGAGTCCAGCACATTAACCACCACGCCACCTGCTGGGTCCCCCCGATTGAGATGTTCCCAGTTCTGTGTCACTGATCCTGTGTGCCAGCTTGAACCTCTGCAGAGCGTATGGCTGGCTCTGGGTGGGCAAGCAGGAAGCCCTCCAAAGCGATTTCAGAGCCTGACATCTCTTCCTCTGATCGTCTCCCCTTCTCTCCAAGCTGGCGGAAGCCAAGAGAAAAGCTGGGCTCCACTGGGGTTTGGCCAGGATCCAAAGGTCAGGGTCACGTGCTTGTTTTTCTCACCTTGGTGTGTTACACACACAGCATTTGGAGGAAGGTGGCCTCGGGTTTGCATCACAGCTTGGCTGCTTGCCATGGTGCGACCTCAGTCTAAGTGACTTAACCTCTCCAGACCTGAGTTTCCTCTTCTCAAAACCAGCAATTATAACCCAACCTCCCAGGAGGGTTGTGAGGACTAAACAGTGTCCTGAAACGCTCGGCATGCAGTGAACATGCTGCACACAGTGGCCCCCTCTTCCCATCACCCACCCTCCAGGGCCTCAGCGCCTGTCTCTCCTTAACTGGGTATGGAGCCTTGAGTTAGCCGCTGTCAGGGATCCAGAAGAAGAAGGTTTTCAATACAGACTCCAGATCTACTCATGTCTCTTAGAAATGTTTACCCAACAACCTTTCTCTCTTTCTTTTTTTTTTTTTAAATTATTTATTTAATTTTACTTATCATTATTATTTTTTTAAATTCGCAACAGGGCATGTGTGGTCAGCAGAGACAGAGAGGGGGGAAGTGCGAAAGCAAGCAACCAGGTCTGGGACTTGAACCATGGCCAGCCATGTGGGAGTCCAGCACATTAACCACCACGCCACCTGCTGGGTCCACCCAGCCACATCTCAATCAGGGTGCTTGAGTATGTCGCGTATGGGAAGCTATAGGGAGAAGTTGTCACAAGTGTACATCTTTGGCCCAATCAAATGGCATTTTTCCAGAAGTTCATGCATTCATCCAATCACAAATGTTCCTAAGAATTGGGAGGCAAGAGCTGCTGCCTCTGGTTCCCCCTTGGTTTAGCTCATAGCAGGCCCGTAACAGGAAGTATCATTATTCCCATTCCGCCAATGGGGAGCCCAACACTCGGGAAAGTTAAGTAACTTTCTCTAGGCCAGAGAGCTGACCTGTGGCAAGCTTTCGTATCTAGGATGCACAGGACAGACACTGGTGTGAAACCTCAGTACAGTGCCATGTTTGGCGCTGGCTCAGGGCGGACTACTGAGGAGACCGAGACTCAGGGAGGTTAGTTGTGGTCATAGCTGGAAAAATGGGCAGAAGGGAGTGGAGGGTCACCTGTGAAGAAGACCCAGCCCGCCCAGGCAGGACGGAAGTACAGTGTAAGATGACGCCCAGCTGGAGCAAGGAGAGATGAGGGAGATAGAGCTGGGATTCACCAAGCCCTGGTTCTGCCCGTGCCTTCTCCACTCCCCTTTTCCTTCCTACCACCCCCCGCCCAACGCCGTGCTGGGCTGGAAATACTGACATCTCCCTTGACACCCTACAGCCATGAGAAGCCAGACTCAGAGAACATCCCACCCAGCAAGCAGCACCACCAGCCACCCCACAACAGCCTCCCCAAGCTTGAACCAGAGACCAAAACGCGCGGGGAAGGTGATGGCCGGGGCTGTGAGAAGGCAGAGAGAAGGCCCGAGAGGCCGGACACCAAGAAGGAGCCCCTGGTGAAAGCCAACGGCATCCCAGCTGGACAGGAGCCAGCCTCAGAGCCAGGCAGCCCTTACCCTGAGGGCCCGAGGGTCCCAGGGGGAGGGGAGCAGCCCGCCCAACCCAATGGTTGGCAGTACAGCTCCCCGAGCCGGCACACAGGGGGCACGGTTGGCCCACCTCAGGATGGGGAGAGCGGGGATCACCGGCGGAGCTTCCCCCCACGCTCCAACCCTGACAAGATCGCCCAGCGCAAGAGCTCCATGAACCAGCTCCAGCAGTGGGTGAACCTGCGCCGGGGGGTGCCGCCACCAGAAGACCTCCGGAGGTGAGCCTGGTGTGACATGGGCGTGGGCAGCTTATGGCTAGGGCATGGAAGTAGCCATGAGACAACCACCTCCAGAAGCCCGACTGGGGTGGGATCCAGAAGCCAGACTGGGCTGGGAGCCAAAAAAATCCCATGGTTCTGCTGAAGATGCACAGGGCATCTGGGTTCCCTGGGCTGTGTCAGCAGATCAGCCATGCTGCCACAGCGGAGCCAGGGCCTGCAGACCCATCCCTCAGAGAGCTTGCT